ACAAGGAAACCGACAATATTCCCTAACACAAGGAGACCGACAATATTCCCTAACACAAGGAGACCGACAATATTCCCTAACACAAGGAGACCGACAATATTCCCTAACCCAAGGAGACCGACAATATTCCCTCACACATGGAAACCGAAAATATTCCCTAACCCAAGGAGACCGACAATATTCCCTCACACAAGGAGACCGACAATATTCCCTAACACAAGGAGACCGACAATATTCCCTTACACAAGGAGACCGACAATATTCCCTAACACAAGGAGACCGACAATATTCCCTAACACAAGGAGACCGACAATATTCCCTAACCCAAGGAGACCGACAATTACCCCAACACAAGGAGACCGACAATATTCCCGAACACAAGGAGACCGACAATATTCCCTAACACAAGGAGACCGACAATATTCCCTGACACAAGGAGACCGACAATATTCCCTAACACAAGGAGACCGACAATATTCCCTAAGCCAAGGAGACCGACAATATTCCCTCACACAAGGAGACCGACAATATTCTCTAACCCAAGGAGACCGACAATTATCCCTGACACAAGGAGACCGACAATTATCCCTAACACAAGGAGACCGACAATTACCCCTAACACAAGGAGACCGACAATTACCCTTAACACAAGGAGACCGACAATTATCCCTAACACAAGGAGACCAACAATATTCCCAAACACAAGGGGACCGACAATATCCCTATCCCAAGGAGACCGACAATTACCCTTAACACAAGGAGACCGACAATATTACCTAACCCAAGGAGACCGACAATATTCCCTAACACAAGGAGACTGACAATATTCCCTAACACAAGGAGACCGACAATATTCCCTAACCCAAGGAGACCGACAATATTCCCTAACACAAGGAGACCGACAATATTCCCTAACACAAGGAGACCGACAATATTCCCTAACACAAGGAGACCGACAATATTCCCTAACACAAGGAGACCGACAATATTCCCTAACACAAGGAGACCGACAATATTCCCTAACACAAGGAGACCGACAATATTCCCTAACACAAGGAGACCGACAATAAACCCTAACACAAGGAGACCGACAATATTCCCTAACACAAGGAGACCGACAATATACCCTAACACAAGGAGACCGACAATATACCCTAACACAAGGAGACCGACAATTACCAATAACACAAGGAGACCGACAATATTCCCTAACACAAGGAGACCGACAATATTCCCTAACACAAGGAGACCGACAATATTCCCTAACACAAGGAGACCGACAATATTCCCTAACCCAAGGAGACCGACAATAATCCCTGACACAAGGAGACCGACAATTATCCCTTACACAAGGAGACCGACAATATCCCTATCCCAAGGAGACCGACAATTACCCTTAACACAAGGAGACCGACAATATTCCCTAACACAAGGATACTGACAATATTCCCTAACACAAGGAGACCGACAATTACCCCTAAAACAAGGAGACCGACAATATTCCCTGACACAAGGAAACCGACAATATTCCCTAACACAAGGAGACCGACAATATTCCCTAACACAAGGAGACCGACAATATTCCCTAACACAAGGAGACCGACAATATTCCCTAACACAAGGAGACCGACAATTACCCCTAACACAAGGAGACCGACAATATTCCCTAACACAAGGAGACCGACAATATTCCCTAACACAAGGAGACCGACAATATTCCCTAACACAAGGAGACCGACAATATTCCCTAACACAAGGAGACCGACAATATTCCCTAACACAAGGAGACCGACAATATTCCCTAACACAAGGAGACCGACAATATTCCCTAACACAAGGAGACCGACAATATTCCCTAACACAAGGAGACCGACAATATTCCCTAACACAAGGAGACCGACAATATTCCCTAACACAAGGAGACCGACAATATTCCCTAACACAAGGAGACCGACAATATTCCCTAACACAAGGAGACCGACAATATTCCCTAACACAAGGAGACCGACAATATTCCCTAACACAAGGAGACCGACAATATTCCCTGACACAAGGAGACCGACAATTATCCCTAACCCAAGGAGACCGACAATTATCCCTAACACAAGGAGACCGACAATTATCCCTAACACAAGGAGACCGACAATATTCCCTAACACAAGGAGACCGACAATATTCCCTAACACAAGGAGACCGACAATATTCCCTAACACAAGGAGACCGACAATATTCCCTAACACAAGGAGACCGACAATATTCCCTAACACAAGGAAACCGACAATATTCCCTAACACAAGGAGACCGACAATATTCCCTAACACAAAGAGACCGACAATATTCCCTAACACAAGGAGACCGACAATTACCCTTGACACAAGGGGACCGACAATATTCCCTGACACAAGGAGACCGACAATATTCCCTAACACAAGGAGACCGACAATATTCCCTAACACAAGGAGACCGACAATATTCCCTAACACAAGGAGACCGACAATATTCCCTAACACAAGGAGACCGACAATATTCCCTAACACAAAGGAGACCGACAATTATTCCCTACACACAAGGAGACCGACAATATTCCCAAGGAGAACCCCGACAATAACACAAGGAGACCGACAATATATCCCTAACACAAGGAGACCGACAATATTCCCTAACACAAGGAGACCGACAATATTCCCTGACACAAGGAGACCGACAATATTCCCTAACACAAGGAGACCGACAATAATCCCTAACACAAGGAGACCGACAATTACCCCTAACACAAGGAGACCGACAATATTCCCTAACACAAGGAGACCGACAATATTCCCTAACACAAGGAGACCGACAATATTCCCTAACACAAGGAGACCGACAATATTCCCTCACACAAGGTGACCGACAATATTCCCTAACACAAGGAGACCGACAATATTCCCTAACACAAGGAGACCGACAATATTCCCTAACACAAGGAGACCGACAATATTCCCTAACACAAGGAGACCGACAATATTCCCTTACACAAGGAGACCGACAATATTCCCTAACACAAGGAGACCGACAATATTCCCTAACACAAGGAGACCGACAATATTCCCTAACACAAGGAGACCGACAATATTCCCTAACACAAGGAGACCGACAATATTCCCTAACCCAAGGAGACCGACAATATTCCCTAACACAAGGAGACCGACAATTACCCCTAACACAAGGAGACCGACAATTATCCCTGACACAAGGAGACCGACAATTATCCCTAACACAAGGAAACCGACAATTATCCCTAACACAAGGAGACCGACAATTACCCCTAACACAAGGGGACCGACAATATTCCCTAACACAAGGAGACCGACAATATTCCCTAACCCAAGGAGACCGACAATAATTCCTGACACAAGGAGACCGACAATATTAACAGCACAAGGAGACCGACAATTCCCCGAACACAAGGAGACTATTCCCTAACCAAGGAGACCGACAATTATATTCCGTGTTACAAATCGACACAAGCTATTTAACCACTTCATCACTGCAACGTCTCACTCGTAAAGATGTTTGGAAGTTGTACCGACAGACAGTTTGAAATTCTCTCGACATGACCATAGTGATGTTATCACCGAACGCATTGTGTATGTATACGTGGATACAAGTTACAACGGGTAATTTACACCTTTAAATGAAAAAATAGCAAAATAAGAGAATGGACTAGTAATTTGATGGTAGGCTGATAAGTCCACAGGTCCAGCTATCCTCGTCAACTTTACCAACCAGAGGATATAAAGAAATATCAGTCACAGATGCCTAGAATAAGATGTCGTCGACCACATGATCACATACCACATCAGAAACTGTTTGTCTGCATAAATTTATAACGACACATTATCAAAAATACCATATATCTATCATCGATGAAATATCCGTTAGCACACAATCTAGTGCCAAACACACTAGATACGATCATTAACACTACTTACAAGGAGAAAATCAAAGGGGCATGTTTTCATACAAAATGCTCCTTTTTGACAAAACCAAAGTAATTTGATCAGTTCTAGGGGGAAGAAAAACTAGCCAATCACAGGCTGATACGCTCCTCTTTAAGATTACAACGGAGCGACATCCAGCATCAGTCATTACAGTATACCGTTATGTGACCTCGAGATTCGTTTGATGCACATCAAAGGATTAAACAAGCCTTTTTGTCTTGTCCACAAGGTGTCGCACATGGAACCTTTAATTTTGCCACATGTTCCAGGAGACCGAAAGTGATCTTAACCACTGGAGTATCGATGATGGACTGGTTCATTATTGGACAGAAATCAAGAAGGAGTGGAACACTTCAATGATAAAACAAATGTAGAATTTATTTAATTCAAAATGCGAATTAAATACAATATATAAAATTACATCAAATTATGGTTTCCATATGTTATCAACATGTCACAGATGTATGTATATATCAAATATCAAAACATGTGTTTAAAAAAAGTGTATAAAAATGTATATACGTAATAAGTTAAAATCACGACAATACATAAAGGACATCTTCACATGGACACTGACCCCACCAAGGACAACAGCACATAGACATAAACATCTATAATATATGACACGTAAAAATTCTAGCAAAGCGTAAATAGATGACAATAGGAACTATATCACCGCACGTACTCACACACTAATAATCAGGTGTTCAGAGACGTGTCATTCATAGAGTCGTAATACATATCACTATTGTCTGAGACATATTGATAAATAAATTAACACATACTTATTATGAGATATGATATGGGATGACCACAGTGTTTCGAGATCAAAATAAGTGCTGGATTCGTAAACGTTGCATTTCTCATCTACTTGTATACACCATTAACCAGATATCGGTGAAAACTGTCCAATATAGACCTCACTCTTTTTATCAATCATGGTGATTAATATAATCTACTTTGGATAAATTTCCTGACTGGAAAAGTGTAGGTTAGGTTGGTGTAGCTCTGCCTGATCTACTGATTTTTGCTGAGGTAAGAGTCAATTGCAGTAACGTGGAGATGCATGCTCTGGAGTAGACGATAAGTATCCTTGACGATGAGGTAATCCCGTTCGTGACGGACCCTTTCATTCAAAGTGTCTCTTACATCTTGTGTCATCACATTAGGGGATACGTAATTGATGTGATTTCCAGAATTTCTTATGAGTCTTTGTTTCGTACACAACACGTTTAGAATACTTCTCTCAATTTCTTGAATATCGTCTGCGTATGTTGCTACGCTTCTATCGATGTATGTCTCGTCAAATTTAACTTCTTCCAAGAAAACCAAAACTTGAGAGAGCTTCTCGTAGTTCGACAAGTGCGTTAGATTTAACTGAAATATAGAAAATCAAAATTATCAATTTCATCATAAAATTTGATTTTTGATATAAAACTGATGTAATCATTTCCATTATATCTAATATACATAAACGTACGGTAGAAATCGCAATAACGATAAAGAAAATTTGACTTACGTTTGTGAAAGAGCTTTGTATTTCTTGTGAGGTTATAGTAACCTTAGGCATTCCGTCACATTGCAAAGTATTAAGATGAGAAATAACTTCCCTCCTTGGGAATCTCTCAGATATCTATAAGGTGACATAAAGAGGAACATGTAACAACACACAATATGAATTGTATGAGAAGCGGCGAAACAAACGCTCGGTAAACAAATGACAAACAGACGACAGAAACGAGAAAAAAATAGCATTCTTATAGAATACACAGCTGTTACGTATAGACAGTACCTAATGAAGCTAACATTCCTACTATTAGAAGGAATAGTGAAACGACAATCTTGAAATAAATTCGAGTTGATGAGAAAGTGAAGGGATACCGTCTTTTCGATAAGAATTTATCCTCTCATAAAACGAAACGCTCTTTATTTGTCTTATATGCTAGGAAACTTTCACATCGTTTTCTTAAAATGTCCATGCCTGTACTCTATACAAATAGCAGGCGAAAATATCAGCGTAAACATTTCGCTTCCCAGCAACTGTCTTTCCTATATAACATCCAAGACATAATACTTTAAGAAAGAGTATCAGAGAGAGTCAAAGTTCAAAATATTCATTCTACTTACGTATTTATCTTTCAGTGACTCTGCTGCTGTCTTGGCGGTTTCGAGAGCAGGAAGCATCCCCGCCACTAGGACTTCAGGGGTCGCTGTTGGGGGACCACCGCCTGGTAATCCTAATACAGAACCCAAGCTCACGCCACATGGACTTCGCCACCTTTCCTCGCTCTGAGCTCTAGCTGACCCGAGACATAGCACCAGGACAACAACTATTAAGCCTGTAAATTGGGAAAATATATCAATGAAACATGCTGAGTTTTTCTTACTTATATTGTCCACTCCATGAAAATATGTTTCGTAAAACAACACGACAAATCAACAAACGTGAGGTATTTTGAATGAGTCAGCAAAATTGACATTTTAGCTATGATATTCTTGTTTATGTGTTAGCTACTAGAATATATTGGATTTTATATAAAAATCTAACTATGTATTTTCAGATGGGATACTACCACCAATACGTTCATGGATGCCGCATTACGACACCCGATCACGATTAATCAATACGTTTTTTGACACAATGTTTTTACCTTTAGTGATATGTTTTACAAGGGATAAAAAACCATGTGTTGCTCCTTCCATCCTATTGTATTCAATAATTACTGTACGTATATTTTCTGGCAGTTCGATATGTACTTTCTGTCAGACCTAGAGGTAATATGTTTAAATCTGATTTTGTAAGACCTTAAATACTTTTCAATTCGGCTTTTCCATCATGTGTTGCCATGTTTTTCAATCCGACCCAATACACCCTACGCGGTTTTTGTTTGGAAATTTTCACTAGGTAAGGCCCTTAGTTTCTATTGGCCAAAGCAAGAATCTTACAATAGCTATATTTTTCCTGTGAACTAAACAAAACGTATTCGCTTAGGATTGACAACTCTTGTATTTACTATAACTAGGATATGGAGGGAAATCCTAGGATTTTACCACAACCGGAAACGTGTCATACCTTTACAAAGAATGTGGGTATGTGTGATTAACCATTCAAACTCATATGTACAATGTATTAGATGAAAGGCATATATACTATAACGTTGTGAAATAAACCTCTAAACAGAAAGGAGGCCAACACTTTTAGCAATGTAATCCCATTTAGTATGTAAATGAATCTCTCTCCGGAAGAGGTCCTTACCGATACAAATAGGCAGATGCTTTTATGAAACAGGGACAGGCGTGCGCCAGCTTACTTTCCCATTGTAACGATAATTGATGACAATTTGACAGCTAAGCCTCGAGCGCTATCTATGCTTGTGTTAACCCGTCGTCAGGAAGTCACGCGTACATTTATTACATTAAAATAATAGTACATAACCAATATACATTTGTGCTTTTATATTTAACTACGGTAAAGATGTTTGGCTTATGGATTATTATTACAAATATCATTTAAGATTATATATATTTGTAAGTCAATGGAATAAACTGCTCTGTTTGTATTAAGAAATTAGGAAATTACTCACCCTTAAGACTATATGATGACGTCAACAAAGTGATGACTGTTTACTTTCTCCCAAGAAAATTTGCAATATACTTGTATATCATCTAGAAAGTCATTGTACTCTAAACTTAAGTTTAGTGTTTTGAATTAGTAGTGAAATCAGTCAAAAGCGTGCACTTGATCACCTGCATCTTTTCCATTCACTCTGCGAATACGTATGTAAAAATGCATTTGAAGTGAGTGCATAGGGTGCAATACGTCAAACGTTTTATTATGGACAGGTAAAAAATGAAGTTGAATGTAAAGAATAGAAAATTTTGCTGATCAGAAAGTATACCCAAAACCTTGAAATACATACTTTCTTTACGATAGGTGCTAGACCTTCTTGTTTGTATAACAATTATTCTGAATGAAGAATAAAATCACCCGAAGATCGTGGACATTATGGTGGAACGTTATCATAAACGGATAAAGATATTTATTTCCAGATTAGAGAGGAGTGACCTCCTATGAGACTTGTCTTCGTTGCCTTGTCTTTAATTAAATATGAATAGCATAAACGTGCGTAAATCTAATTTAATTTTCGCACTCAAAGTGATCGCCATATTTTTTGTGCATGACGTCATTTACTTAAGTAGTGCGAAATTGACATCGGAAATAAGAATTTTCTGTTTGATATAACTTTGATATAAATAAAAAATTGAAGAAGAGATGACGAAAAGAATGTTTCATGCCGGTATATGTTATGAAACATAACTATGACAACGTAAACATGAAATAAGAATTATTTGATAATCAAAAGTATTTAAACGTCACATGGATTGTAAATATTACAGTATATAAATAACATATCATGGTTATAGTGTTAATAGTGAAAACGACTACACAGTACCCTTGTATCGAGCCGAACGATATATAATTCTTATGTTAAATTAATACAGCCGGAAGTCTAATTCGTACAGCTGAAAGTCTAGTCCATACAGCCGGAAGTCTAATTCGTACAGCTGGAAGTCTAGTCCATACAGCCGGAAGTCTAATTCGTACAGCTGGAAGTCTAGTCCATACAGCCGGAAGTATTATTCGTACAGCTGGAAGTCTAGTCCATACAGCCGGAAGTCTAATTCGTACAGCTGGAAGTCTAGTCCATACAGCCGGAAGTCTAATTCGTACAGCTGGAAGTCTAGTCCATACAGCCGGAAGTATTATTCGTACAGCTGGAAGTCTAGTCCATACAGCCGGAAGTCTAATTCGTACAGCTGGAAGTCTAGTCCATACAGCCGGAAGTCTTATTCGTACAGCTGGAAGTCTAGTCCATACAGCCGGAAGTCTAATTCGTACAGCTGGAAGTCTAGTCCATACAGCCGGAAGTATTATTCGTACAGCTGGAAGTCTAGTCCATACAGCCGGAAGTCTAATTCGTACAGCTGGAAGTCTAGTCCATACAGCCGGAAGTATTATTCGTACAGCTGGAAGTCTAGTCCATACAGCCGGAAGTCTAATTCGTACAGCTGGAAGTCTAGTCCATACAGCCGGAAGTCTAATTCGTACAGCTGGAAGTCTAGTCCATACAGCCGGAAGTATTATTCGTACAGCTGGAAGTCTAGTCCATACAGCCGGAAGTCTAATTCGTACAGCTGGAAGTCTAGTCCATACAGCCGGAAGTCTAATTCGTACAGCTGGAAGTCTAGTCCATACAGCCGGAAGTCTTATTCGTACAGCTGGAAGTCTAATTCTTGTTTATCTATATATTTTAACATAACTGGCTTTACACCGTTATAATAATCTTTCCGCAGTTCAGCAGATGAGAAATGATACACTGGTACGAAATTGATCAGGATGGGTAAAATTTGCAAAAAAAAACAAACAAACAAACAAACAAACAAACAAAAAACACCCTTGTGAATAGCACTTTTTTAAATATAATCCTTTTAGTATTCGTCATTGGCACTTAGAGCATTAGAGACGATTGTAGAAAATCCAAGGATATTTAAAGAAATGTGAAATTCTAGATGGGAATGTGCACTAGCCCCACACTGAAATAAATTTTGTAATTATCATCTATACGGTTTATGATAGAATAACGTCACGTGCATGTGTTTACTCCGAATCATGGTGCTATTCGGGAAAAAATAAAATAAAGTTTGACGCGTTGTTGGCACTACCTATCTGGATTGACTAAAAATCATAATTTGTATAGTCTATAAACCAGCTAATGATCGATATAAAGTTATATTTGAATTGATATTAATAATTTTGTTAAAAACATACACAGATTCATTCTGACGGTAGACATTTTTATAACGGATTATTTACAGACATGTAACGGGAACAATGTAAAACATTCAACACACATCATCCACATTGTCACTTATCTAATCATTCATACAAGTAACATTTAGTACACATATACATTCACTTATATATACCTATATACAAACGTGTTATTGATATAGACGCGGTTCTCTGAGACTCTTCTCACATTGAACCTGTTTATACATATACATAGTTCAATGAAAGACTGCTGTCGAAAAATTCCTGTAATTGTCTAATAGAATACACATTTCACAAACATACCTCTACACAACTCACACACAAGTCCCTATAGGCGATGGGCTTGCGGTCGTCACAGTGCACCACCCCCACAGCTTGACCTTGACCTTCTGGCCCCTTAAACATGTGACATGTTTAGATATCAAAATAAATGCATAGTGAAATGATAAAGCTCTTAATTTCCTTTCATTTGACACCAAGATTATCCATTTCCAGTGTAAAACATTGAAGTTTATGCTTTACGATCATTTGTTAGGATGAAATGGAGAATTTTGGTATCGGCCGACCTCGGAAGTCAAAACACTTATGAATTTAGAAGGATAGGGGTTAAGCTATGGAGACCTTCCTTTCCCAGAAACATTTGAGGGATGTAATAAACATAATGGTAACAACAGACTTTGACAGGATGGGCCGAAATACAGCAGATTTGATAAGAATTAAATCAAACCCTAAATTTTGGGCATTACCTACTTTTGGTGACCTTCTGACCTATACATCCCTGAAATCAGATTGAATGAACTTTTATTATATATCATTGTAAAGCTGACACACACAGCAAAAGATTGAGGGGTGGTTGGTTGCCCTGGGGTCTATGGTCTCTGAGATAGAGGCACAGACGTTTCCCCTACCCCCAATTTTTGGCGTCCGGTCGGCATCTGACCAAATGCAAAAATGCTCTCAGTAGGGTCAGTGAGAATGAGTTGTTTTGGTGTTAACATCGTTTTTATGAAATGTTAGGCCCAGGGGTATAACAACATACCAAAGAAGTCAAGCTTTGGGGGTGGTGTACTGTGACCGCCAGCCCATCGCCTACTACACATTTAACACACATACACATTGATGATCGTGTATAGAAGCATTTTGTATTTCATGTACTGCTTCAATAATCATACCAACTCTACTGCGCTATGTTAAATACTTTATTTGATCTTATAATAAACGACTTACATTACAAGTATTGCTGATTAGTTTGTAATGTACAACATACTTATCATGTTTGATTTTTAATAGAAAATACACAAACCAATGAAAAATATACCACGGAGAATATAAACACTTTATAAAAGATATTTTTTCCTCTAGAAAAATATTTCATAATTTCTATCAAATGTTGCTTTCATGGCAGTGTGTGTCTACTTGGCCAATATCACTCGAAGGATCCGTGGTCACGTACGTGTTGTCTTTGGTGTATGCATGTTTGAGTCACCACCGAGTTATGTCTTACGTACAGGTGTGTAAGCCTAATCAAAGGTATTGGTTGACAGTGGAGTACATGTGTAGGTGTAAAAGATAATCAGGATGTAAACATTGGGATATTCGTCTTCGTAAACATCATGTTGGAAGTATGTCTACAGATATATTAAAGAAGATAAATTTTAAACTAATGCAATTAAATGGTCACTTATATACATAATAATGCATTGATGGAATAACACTCGGTGCCCACGTGCTTTACGAAATGAGTCCCCTAGGTATACTTGTTGTAGCCTCGCAGAAAGCAAGAAAATCAAAGTTCTTGAATATTCAATCGGTCTACATCTTATTGTACTATCAAGTATTAAAAACACGCTACCACAAGCAAATATGATGTAGTTGATGGAATTTCATATACACAACATACATCATAGACAATACATCACAATAATGCCTAGATATACTTAGTACACACCGCACGTACAAGTATAGTGTATAGGACATGTAGCCATTCAAATATAGCGACCCACAAACACAATGTA